GGTTTTTCATTTCCACCTAATCGAGCATACAAGAGTTGGTTCAATGTCTCATCTGAAGGCGGCACCTCCAAAAATGAAGTGCTTCCCATCATGGAATTGGAGTGTCAACCTGGATCTTGAACTCAAAGTCCGCAACAAAGGACCTGAACCCACAATCATGTGACCTAGAAAACCTGACACCTGTCAGTGATAAGGAGTGAAAATAATATGCAGAGAAATAAAGAGAGAACAAACCACCTCCAGAAAAAAGTAAAAGCAAAGTGGCTTCAAAGTAATTACATTAACGTATTGAAGAGAGTGAGAATTAGAGAGGTGACGATAATTCGCTGACACAGCTAAACCTATTTCATAGATAAACAGATAAAGGAATGAGACTTGATCCACCAGATCTTTAAAATGCTGGGAGGAAGAAAGAGTACAGTTGTAAGTAGCCTATTCTTAGATCATACGTAGAGTCCAGGTTTAACGTTATGCTCCATGTTTTTTAAATTTTAAGATACAATACAAAGTTACATTTGTGTAGCGCCTTTCACACCAGGAGGATGTCCCAAGGCGCTCAACAATCAAGGATTCAGACCCGATCTGGGGGTTGAGATCGGGGAGGGCAGGGAGGCTAGTAGGTTGGCCAAAGGCTCAGTCAAAGAGTAGGGTTTTGAGTCACACTTTGAAGGAGGCAAGGGACAGAGCGAGGCGAAGGAAATGTGGGATGGAGTTCCAGAGATGGGGCAGAGAGGCTGAAGGCCCGACTGTAGATGGTGGGGCAAGCAGGGAGCAGGCCTAGGCCTGCTGAGCGGAGGGAGCGGACAGGTTGATATGGGGTCATCAAGTCACAGAGGTAGGGGAGAGCAAGGCCGTGGAGGGCCTTCAAGGCGAAGGCGAGGACGAAGAAGAGGATTTTGATTTCCATCCTCTGGGGGATGGGGAGCCAGTGGAACTGGGCGAGGGTGGGGGTGATGGGATCACGGAGCCTGGTGCGGGAGATGACGCAAGCTGGAGAGTTCTGGATGATCTGCAACTTGTGGAGGGAAGAGTTAGGAAGATAATGGTCTTATATCAGGATTCAAAGGTTCAATTTAAAGCAGAATCACTGGATAACATTCAAGAGTGGGAACCATTGCTAATTTCCCCCCAATTAACCTAGACTCAAAAAACAGATGACTGAAACTACCTCAGAGGATTGACTTGATTCCAATCTTTCATTACCAGGCAAATGCAAGGATTATTATTAGTAGTAGTATTATTATCAGTAATATTATTATACTAAGTGACCCCACTTCCCTCTGCCCTTAGAGGACAATATCCATTTATTTGAACTGCATTTTGTGTTATAATAAACAAAGCAACTTATTTTGATGACAGTTCCAGTTCGATAAATGCAACTGCAGAGGGAATGCAATTTTGTGGCAAACAATTTCCTTATTAAATCCTTTCATCACCATTAACTAACACAGGGAGTTTGTATATCAACCATATCAGCATGACGTGTCTCCCATAGCAAGAGCAGCAGCTACTAATCATTGTGATAACAATGAATGAGTTAAAAGAAACACGTGAGTATAACTAAAACTAGAACGGATTAGACGCAAATGAACATATCAGAATGCGTAACAAGTTCTTCATAGTGACATACTCAATGTTCAGACTGCTCAGAACAGGCAGGATATGACTCACCTCAACAACTACTGCATTTCCTTTACTGAGCCCACATTGTGGTGACATAAATGCTGAAGTGAGTGAAACATATTCAAGATTCCAGGAAATGATAACAGAGTATTTTAAGGAGTACTAAAATGTCAAACCCAAATCTTAGTAAGAGGTAGAACTCTGAAAGAACTTTTTAAAGTTTTAAGCGTATGTCAGAAATGAGATCAGATAAATACAGCGTGCAGCATTGAATACTGAAGTACAGCCTAACTTTCCAGCAATGTACTTCCTGTTTCAGGTTATTTTCTTATTTTCAATGTAATACAATTGACTGCTTATTTGGTTGATTTAAAGCAGGGTCATCCCCATTCAACCCGTATATAAAAGCTTAAACCAATCACGTCAGAAGCCTTATGATAAAATCATGCGAGGCTCCTCTTTTGCATTAAGCTCTTTGAAGCCGAACTAGTTCCAAAGTGACGTGACTGGCAGCAGAATGTCAGAATTGATGGGGTTCATAGGTTCATGGAGGCAGACAATATTACGGAGCATGGTGTTCAGTTTCTTCACATGTTACACCCTCGGCTGATCAAGAAAAAAAATCACATCTACATACCTGTTCAATGTATTTGTTCCGAGAAAGAAAAGTGAAGCAAGTCACGCTCAGAATGTTTCTCAGTGGCTCCACCAGTCTAAGTCTAAAGATACTGGAAAGATTCTAGTTGATTTATAAAAATTTAAATAAAACCATGGTGGGAATTTTGACACTGTATCATATGAAGGTGATGATTGAAGGCTGATATTTGCTGGAGGGAAAGGAAGACACAAGTCTGATAGAACATCATCAATGTGGCAATCTCATACAATCTAGAGACAATCTAGTGGCTGACTAGAATAACACTGTGAGAGATTCTCAGTTATCCTTCTCCCACCCTCTCGCCCAACCCTCATTGGTTACAGTTCATCTGTAGCCCTTGGAGGACAGGACAAACAAAAAAAACAATTTTGGATTATTCAACTCCTGGTAATGTTGGGCAAACCCCCATCACCCAATATTAATTGTGTCAATCTGTTTGTGTCAGCCATTAATCTCATTGTGACACCTTTGAACCTTCCAGCATGTTGATCCCAATATTTCAGTGACGGTTCAGAGAATTTCAATGCAATTCAACTTTTGAACAATCATTTGAACAATGTTGGGAAATGGGATGTTCAGCCTCGACCAGTAAGCCATCAAGACGTCATTAGGCATCGAATGTCTCGCAATATGATTATCACCAAGGAGATCAGAAGTACAAATTCCCACCAGTGATAATTATCACATTAAATACCACAATTTTTTTTAACCCCCATATTTTCTATTTTCCATCTTTCTTCTTCAGGGAATCTTTCCTGTTGAGAAACTTGCCAATACATAAAATCTATCTGTTTTGAATATTTTACAAGCCTTAACAGCTCTGTGAAAATGTAGATAGATACAGGACAATAGGTACTCTCCTCCATGGACCTTATAAAGATTACTATCAGTTCCTCTTTACTCCACTCAGACTATATTTCGTCTCACTACTGTACCTTACTCAGATAAGCATGACCCAACAGGATCATGAATTACAAACCTAAAACAATGAGTCCTTGTTGAAATTTGAACAGTTGAAGTTTGTGAAGAAGTGTAGAAAGTTCATTGATAACACCAGATAGCATAGCTAGTTTTTCCAGTCTATTGCAACTTTTTGTCTTAAATTCGACCTGACATTTCGAAATTAAGTTTAGATAAACCTAAGCCAGAAATAGTCACGGAGAATTTATTGGCTATTTTATTTAGTGAAGTGATTAAGGGTGCAAAAGTGCAAACAATTCACATTAAGCCAGTTGAGAAGATCATTAAAATGGCAATCATGATTCAGTGTTTTATATATAGAGCCGTTAAATTCAAAAGTGAGGGAGTAGTGATGTATATGAATCTGTAATACATACTTATATAGCACTTTTCACATCGAGCAGACGTTCCAAGGTGCTTAACAGTACTGATCAATATTGAAAGATATGTTTTGGTCAGGCAGGTGTCTGACACATGCCAGGGTGGCTGTTAGAGCAAACAGAGTTGATTGGGGAATTTGAAAAATAATTGGACGAGCACATGCGATGGAAGAATACTGGAGTATTTTTGAATAACTTCATGGCAAGTATAGAGCTATTGGCAGTCAATGGCATTTACAGTGACAACATTGAACCAAGCAGGATGTCACTGTAAACTTTCTGTCAACTTTTTACTTCAGCAAATCTCAATCAAGCCTATAATTTAATTTGATTCTTTCCTCTCTGATTCACAGAGTCAGATTCCCAAGTTTATCGAGCATCATATTTTTAAAATAAACTCTGTTATTAATCAGTTATTGATTGGTACAATCTCTACTAAATTGTACACATTGTAGTTCCTAAGACCAAGAGTGCTGAGGTTATGAAAGGTGTACCAAATTATCCTTTGAAGTCAAGATCATGCACTTCAAGGAAGGTCAAGAAATACAAATTGAAACGTTACAAGAAGCAGAATGAAATTACGTTTTTTCAGAAATATGTCATTATAACTCAATGTACTGTTGGGAATATCTTGAAAAGTTCACTGTATGAAAGATAAACAATTAACAGGAAATAACATCATTGAGTGGAATAGCTCAAGGCAAGCACAACCATTAAGATGCTACAACCAACATATAATAATAATAATAATCCTTGTGTTTGATACAATGACTTATCACATCTTTGAGTCATCTCAAAGCGCTTCACAGAATATACTGTAAAGTGAATTGACTGTATATTTTGTAGGCAAACAATCTACAATCAGACTTTATAAATATCTGATTGTAGATGTTATAATATTTAGGTTCTTGGGCACAACTTTCTGCTTGCTGGTAAAGTTAGTGACCTTATGAAAGTTGGAATGTGGAATGCGCCTTGCCAAGTAAGCTGGTAGAGCAAAGTCCGTTGTGGGTTTCAAGAGGGAATTTGAATGGCATTTACAGTGATATGAAAGTTAGAGGCTTAAAAGGGTATGGGGATATGGTAAGGCAGTGGGATTTAAATTAAGCTTTGCTCTGAGGGCCGGTACCAACACGATGGGTCAAATGGTCTCCTTCTGCTCTGAAAATGTCTGAGATTCTATGAATTGGATATGTAATGGATTTTCACATTGCAATCATAAAACCAAACTCCAGGACACAACTTTAGACTGGCAAACTTTTAAGGATTGAGTTTAGTGGCTTAATGGGTGGATACCAACTCAACAAGAAATCGCACAACAATAAATAGATATTGATCTAAAAATAATATTATGCAGAGCATGCAGTAAAAATACATACCAAAATATAGCAGTAATAAAACTGCTCCAAAATGGATCATCAAAGAAAATGAAAGGGAAACTAAGAAGAAGAGACAGGGTGTGCAGTGGGCCGTGTGCAAGACTCGGACAAGGAAATTTAAAAAAGAGATTAACAAAGTCAATAGGGATCTGGAAACAGTGGATGCAAACGATAACACAAAAAAAGCTTAAAATATTATAAAAATTGAGATGTTAAAACCCAAAAGGATCCAAAGTAAGATGGAAAATAAGACTAACCAGGAAATAGTATTTATAATAAATAACTGCTTCCTGGAGGATTTTACTAGGGAAGATATTAAAATACATCACTAAAAAATCAACAATTCTCTCAGGATGGATGAACAATACTGAGGTTATGGAGAGAGACAAGACAGGAAGCTTATGAGTTACCCAATGAATACTGGGTAGGTTGCAATAGACTGGAAAGAAAGAAATATGTTTATCATAATGAAGACAATTATATCTGGCAACTACAGGACTATGAGCCCATTCTCAATATTTGGAATACTAATGAAGCAATCATCAGAAGCAAAATAGACCTTATGAGAATAACGTAACAAATGAAAAGCAGCAGCATGTAAACGGGATGATCTTTTCAGAAAAGATCCCAAAGACTCCGAGAACCCATCTGCTTGTTCAGGTCGACATTAAACAACAACTTCCACTTATGTAGTGCCCTACACGCGGAGTAGCTTCCCAGAGCGCTTGACGGTGGTGGAGTCTGACACCGAGCCAGGGGGAGAGGGAGGGGGGAGGTGTCATAAGCTCAATTAAAAGGGAAGGTCTTTAGGTGGGATCTGAAAGTGGGGAGGATGGGGGCAAAGCAGGGGGATTGAGGGAGAGAGTTACAGAGTTTTGGGGTACGGTGGCTGAAGGCACGGCCACCAATGGTAGAGCACTGGGGACAAGGGACAAACAAGAGGCCAGAGCCAGTCAAGTGGAAGCAGGGGCGGTGGAATGGGAGGTAAGCCGATCAGATAGTTAGGAAAGTGCGAGGGCATAAAGGGATTTGAAAACGAGTGAGAGGATCTTGAGATCGATCCATTCAGTAATTGGGAGCCAGGGAAGCCTGGCAAGGACTGGTGTGATGGGGGTATGGAGTTCTGGGTGGGTGAGTATCTGGGCGGCGGAGTTTAGAATTAGTTGAGTTTTGTATATGGTAGAGCTGGGGAGGCATCGGAATAGTTCAGCCGGATATTGAAGAAGGTGTGGACCAGGGTTTCGCCTGCTTTGGTTAGGTACGGAAGGAGGCGGGCAATGTGATGGAGGTGGAAAAAAGCAGTTGTGTTCAGGGAATTGATGTGGGTTAGAAAGGAGAGATGGGGGTCGAACCTGATGCCTAATTTGCGCAAGGGTTCAGTGAGTCTGAGGGAGAGCCCAGGCAGGTTGAGGAGTTCAGACCTGCAGGAGAGAAGACTATGATGGGAGCCAAACAGTATGGCTTTTGTCTTGCTGACATTCAGCTGCAGGAAATTTACGCTCATCCAGGCCTTGATGTCCATTTAACAAGGTCACAGGACATCAGCAAACTGGGAATTGAGGCTCGAGGAGGAGAAGTAGATTTGGGTGCCATCCGCATAGATGTGGAAGTTGACCCCATTTCTGCGGATGACATCGCCGAGAGGGAGCACGTAGGTGAGGAAAATAGGGAGGCCAAGGATGGAACCTTGGGGTATCCCACAGGTAACTGGGCAAGAATGGGAGGAAAAAACATTTGCCACAATGTATTGTTGGCAGTTTTTTAAGTAGGACTCGAACCATGAGAGTGCGGGTCTCGCTAAGGTGGATGAGGGAGTAATGGCAGTGGAAGAGGTTGTTGTGATCAACTGTGTTGAACATGCTGGAGAAGTCCAGGAGAATGAGGAGGTAGATGGAACCCTGGTCTCAGAGAGAGAGGATGTCATTTGTTACTTTCATGAGCATTGTCTCTGTGATGTGGGCATGGCAAAAACCGAACTGGAGAGGTTCGAGTAGGGAGTGGATTTGCAACCATGCGTTCCAAAACTTTGGCCAGGAAAGTAGCTTTGAGATGGGACTGAAGTTTGTGAGGTTGGAGGGCTTGAAGGTAGGTTTTTTGAGGAGAAGAGTGATGACAACTGTTTTGAGATGTAGAATCATACATCACATCAATAGGATCAACTGTTTGATGTTCCCATAGAGTTAGGGTTAGGGCTCACTGTTCCCTTAGAACAGTGGCGGAGAACCTTTTTGGTTGACCAATAAAATAGTCATAGAAATAACAAATTAGCTAGGAATTAGGCCATAAATCAAGAAATTTTCAATCAATTCAACATTTATTTTGTTCCCATAGAGTTACCACTGCATAGAGAAATGGTAAAACCAAGTGAGCAAGGAACAAACATACACACAAAGTTAAGTTAAAATGATTTACAATGTACTTCCCTTTTATATTCCACACATTTTCTGGCAAGTATTCCATGCAGTAAATCTAAAAATAAGCACAATCTAAAATTCCTTGGCATACTCATGAATTGCTGTATGATCAGCAATATTTTCAGACTTTGAATATCTGCAAACTTAATAAGCACACATGCAGAGGTGACCACAAACACTTATAGGCAACTATTTGAGGAGAGTATATATTCATTTCAATTACTGCATAATTGTATAATGTTATAAAAAGAGGTAACGATGCACTTAGTGGTGTTCTCAATCCTCCCAAAATTTTGCTGACAAAATGTTTTAACTTAGCTTTGTAACCATTCAGTTTGCCGTCTCTCTATGGGAACATTTTTTCAGTGAATGTTTAGCACCTTAGATTTCCTCCTGACATGAAAGGCGCAATCTCTATAGAAATGCAATTTGTTGTTTATAATTTAGAGACAAATAGAGAACAGATATTTGTATACGCTAGATTTGTGTATTAGTTGGTAGATGCAATTACAGTACTGAGCCATACATTCCATGAAAGTTCAGCTTCAATCCCTGATCTTATACTATAGAGTTTAATGTAGGATTTACTGTAAAATGTAGTGATAACATGTTTTGTAGGTGAATACAGCAGTCATTCTGCACAGAGGAATGACCCACAAACAACCATGAATATATGACCAATTTTATTTGGGGCTAGGACACTGGGAGAAACTCCCTTCTCTTTTTAAATAGTGCTGTGGAATCTTTAACATCCAACAGGCAGACGTGACCTTGATTTAACATTTCATCTATCCTCCTGGGTGGGTTGGAGGTTAGCGGGGTCTCCTTGGAGCTGAACTGGTTCCTGAGCCACGTGGGTCCGCAGTCTACAGTACTCCAGGGCACTGTTAATGACAGCACAGCGGCAGGACCTGGAAGGGCAGACCAGTCACTGAGGACAGGGAGTCATCCCACTCAGCTCTTGTTAACCCTGCAAGCCAAAGCCCTAACGCGGTAAGGCCGTCCTAGCTGGACAAGCAAAGGGAAAGCTTGCCAGACAGTGATATCAATGGCAAGCTGTGCGGCTTTAGCTGGTTAGACACGAGCAGTAACCCAACATAAACTCGGAGGACCCCAAACCTTGGCTGTTACCAAAGTTGTGAATTCAAGTCTCATGTTAGGACTTTGAGCTCATAGCCTAGGTGACAATCCAATGCTGTGTTGGGGGGATTCTTCATTGTCAGACGTGTTATCCTTTGGATGAGACAGTAAACCTAAGTCCCATTTGTCTTTTCAGGAGGAAGTTAAAGATTCCATAGCACTATTTGAAAAGAGAAAGGAGTTTCTCTCTGTGTCCGGTCCAGATAAAATTGATCATTCACTTCACAACCGTTTATGGGACATGATAGTATGCAAATTTAATGTAGTGATCAACTACAAAATACACAGTTTACAGAAAATTTGTGATGTTATAAGTGCAATATCAAATCCTTATACAACAATTAGTATTATTTTTACATATTTTGCCTCTTTATTGAACCATAGAAATTTACAGCACAAAAAAGACCATTTGGTCCATCGCTGGCTCTTTTAAAAAGCATTCTTTTCAGTTTCATTATTGGAAAATGTTGTTAAATTCCTTCCTCCACCATGAAATATCCACAACCATATAACCAGTCTTATTCAACCCCGTTCAGTTGTTTTACACAGATGACTTTGTCCATTGTCCAAGCAGCAGGAAAGCCATTTTACTATCTCTGTCTTTTACAGATCTTAATAATTTACAATCCACTTCTGAACCATACATATATGAAGCTCTTTTTTAAGGAGTTGATTTCTTTGGTGGCACTCTGCTCTATGTTTCCACTAGGCTTTGAAAAAATATTCTTCTAATTTGTAGTTTTGCCTGTGGTTTGTTAATTGTATGCTCATATCTTCTAGTTTTGTGCTCAAGTCTGTTAAAATAATCTGCTTATGACTACATTATGTATGACTGCCTTTTAAGCACACTGTCTTGTCTCAATATTCTTTTTCCAGTTAAATCAAATGTTATTCTGTGAATCTGTCTTCCTGAGTTGCACTCTCAAAATTTAAATTCACCCATCTCCTTGTTCTCTGAATTATTTCTAAAGTGCCATATTTGGGGTTTTGGGAGGTACATGGGACTATAAACTACACAAAATATGGTACGTCTACAATAAATAATCCTTGTGCTTTGTATAACATCTTGAACATCTCAAAGCGCTTTACATTAATTACTGTTAAGTGTACTATATTTGTAGGTAAACATGTCAGTCAATTTGCACATTGCAATGTCCTACTAACAGCTAAGAGTTAAATAACCAGTTTATCTGGAGGATTATTATCCTGCTTCTCTTTGAAAATAGCCTCCCTGAGCAGACAGAGCGGATGTCTCATCTAAAGGATGGTGTCTCTAGTGGTTTTCACATTGGAAGAATGTCTGCAAGTGTTTTAAACAGCTGTCAACCAAGACTGTGTGCTCAAAGTCTCCAAATTGGGGCATGATCTCATAGTTTTCTGAACTAGAGACAAGAGTACCGTTGACTGATCCAAGCTGACTGCCCTTGCAAATAAATATATTGAAGTAGGGAAGATCACAAGATCACCTAAGATGGCCTGGTAGGAATGAACGCTAGAGTA